GACCTGATGATGATGAGATAACATCGAAACATGTCGTCAATGTAAAATGTAACAAGATCTGTATCTAATGAAAAAATGTTATAATTTTAAGTAATTTTAACAACATTTTTAAGTTTGTGTAAAGACGGTAAATAAATTATTGTTTTAATGTCATATAATGCAATCTCGTAATGTTGTAATCCTGCAATCTTGCAATGTAATCCAATGTAATGTAATCTTGCACTGTAAACTTGCAATAACTCTCTGCGGCCAAAGTAACCCCTTTTTATATCGTAAGCACCCTTATGGCTCGACAACCAAAATTCCCAGCTTTGCCCAAAAGGAAATGTAACATGAACTCCTATTGGTGTTGGTCCAGGTTTGGTTCGAAGGACCTCCCCTTTCCCACCAATCCTCAGGGAGTTCCTCCCAAGCTCTTAATTCTAAAGAGCATCGCTAACGAGTGGCAAAACCCACTTGGGCTAAGAGCATGTAATTCATGTACAAGGGAATTTCCAAGTCTGGAAATTCCTAAAACCTGTGTTCCCACCTACTTCAGGTACTGCTACTCCACTTAGTATCCCCTGTCCATTTCGGATCCCAAGCTTACAATATTCCAGAATATGAATGAAATACAAAGGAATCATAAACTAACAAAAGAAAAACAGGACAATAAGTGGCAAATACAAAACCTTATGACCTAGCACATAACCATTGGGTTTCTTAAAAGTATAGAATTACCATACACCAGTACAGGGATTGATGAGCCCTTACAGAACCCAGCTGGAAGTTGAAAATTACAGAGTGAAATGGTAAGAACATGTAGGATAGATGGAGGATGATAAAAATTGCAGTTGAATGGGTTTATGACAACCAAGGAAATAATGTGGGGAGATCATTTGAAGATGTAAGAGGGTTAAGTCTAATACCTAATGTAGATGACTCTAAAATATGGCACATTTATTTTTGAAGTCATGAATTAAATGTGTTGTCTTTTAAATGCTCATCATTGAAGTCAGATAAACTGTCTTGTAATGAGATCTTTACATTATTTTGGCTACATTTTTGTGATTGGTAATGGGTTTAAGAACTATGGTGGCTATCTTCTGGGTTCTTGCACTGTATAGTCTGGCAGAAGTTTACCAATGTTTCAGAGGTCCTTGCTGCCTCCATTATCAGGGCAGCAGTGACCCCTGAAATGCTGGTAAACATCTACCAGACTACATGGCGAAACAGCCCAGAAGAAAGCCATCTTTAGACTCACTATTGTGAAAACCTCAAATCCTACTTGGTTTATGAACTAGTTAGGCTGACTTAAATGTGTTTAAATGAGCTCTATAGTAAAGTACAGGTAAAGGTTTCTTTGATATATTTCCTGTGTAGAGTGGTCTGACAGAAGGAGATGCTTTACCATCATTGCTTATCAATTTCATTCACACCATAATGAATTCATTATACTTGGTCTCCCAGAAAGCTTTAGATCATTCTTAATTCATACCGTTAGAGGGGTTTATGAAAATCAGATTGAAATAGAGTTGAATAAAGCATATTGGGATGTGTTCTGTGTTAATGTTAATTTACTGAATGAAAATATAAATATCATAAAACACAGTACACAGGTAATAATCAATTGGTCTAGAAATTGGTGCAGAGAAAGCTAAATTTGTGTTCTTGTTTCATCATCAGAATGCAGGACAGAATCATGAAACTATCTGATAAGTCCTTTGAAAATAACAAACAATAATAATAATAATAATAATTTTCCAAGAAGGACCTGGTTCTGTGGAGTTATCAGCGGTAGTAATTATGTGTTATTCTGTGTGAAATGAAATTTGTTAATGGTGGTCTGTGAATTGCCATTATGTATTTGTTTTATATTTTTTCCACAGGCTTTTGAAGATGAAAACATACACTCTGATTTTTGCAGACTTTTCTGCTGAATATTAAAGAGCTACAACCTTTTGAATTTTGGAAGTCACTAACTGTAGCTTCTACATTGAATTTTGGAACAAGGCAGCATATAGTTGTACAATTTTCTGATGTATGCACAAACTTTAATGATTTAGCACTGAAATAAAGCTAAAGAACAGCTTGTGTAATATTTACTTCTAATTTCTGATTGCATACTGTGTTAAAATACACTAGTAAACAGAAGAAAAGAAGTAGGACATTTTTGTTGTTACATCTGCTACCATGCTCTAATTTATAAGGAGTATACAGTTTTAGTAATACCTAGGGGAAAAAAGGATCAGTGTTCTGATTAATGAAGGTATTAAGGGATTGAGCTGCTGAAATGTAATGAAAAAAGTGACATTTATATTTTTGTGCACAGAAATGTATTTCAATATGTTAGAAGCATTTGTTAAAATGTATAATATGTTGGATATTAACACATTAAAATCGTATTGCACTATTTAACATTACTTACCTGAGTTACCATTTTATTCAGGTTTTAACATATTTATCTTCATTGTCCACCTTTGAAACAATTTTAGACGTATTTGTACGTGTATTTGTAGGATCCACTGCACATTTAATATGAAGCCTGCCAGTATGTGAGATAAAACATTGAAGTTCTGGCACAGCTTAATTTAGTTTGTTTTTTATGTCTCTTTCTAAGAGATCAGTGAAATGAATCTAATGACAGATGATGTGGAACTTTCTGTTCAAGAATCCCACATAAGATTAAACAGAACCCTTGCAGATTCAAGCAGAGGACAAACGTAAGACAGAGTGTTGAAAAAAAATGGATATGTCCAAGGCTCCCATTGTAATTTTGTGAAAAGCCAAACGATCTAGTGAAGAAGGATTGAAAGTTAGCTGCAAAGATTTTCTGACCATGTAACTGTAACTGCTGTAAATACTGCAGATGTAAATGCAAATAAACTGGATCCTTAGAAGAAACATCAGAGTGCTGCAGTGATTGCTCGTCATTAATGGAGAACTAAAAACCAGTTTTAAAATGAAAGTAGGGATAAAATTTTGACTTTAAATTACTTCTTGAACAATTAAGTAAATTATTTGTTTAATGATTGTTTACTTGATATGGAAAACACAAAACTTCAGAAAGAAGAATGAGTGTTAATATATACAGGCTGATTCAAAAGGTTAGGGCCAAACTGAAGGAGCATATAGAGGGACTCCGAGAGAACAACTTTCGAATAGGAATCCATGTCCTCAGTCGAGGCCATTGAAGGTAGGGAAGTCTGATAACATACCTGTTGTAAATTTGGTTTGTAAGATTGCTAATGTAATCCTTGTACATTAATAAAAAAAACAAAAACAAAATTAAGCTAGTAGGAGAATACCAAAGTACGATTATTTCAGCGGTGTGTTATCAGACTTCCCTACCTTCATTGGCATTGACTGACTCAGGATAACTTCGGAGGGCATGGATTCCTATTCGAAAGTTGTTCTGTCTGAGTCCCTCTATACGCTCCTTCTGTTTGACCCTAACCTTTTGAATCACCCTGTATATGGGAAGAAGATAGTCCATAAATTTTATCCTGTAACAGGAACAGCAATTTTGTAATAATAATTTTACTTTGAAATTGTGGTCATCTGAGCGCATGCAGGAAGGAAAGAATATCATTTTGTTACAGAATTAAAGAAGTGAGATCATAGTCAAAACATCTAAGTTCCCACAATCTGAAGGACATAGAAATATCTGCAGTTGAAAAGAGAAAAATTTACAGCTTGAAGTAGGCTTTTCCAGGTTCTGTGAATTGAAGCAAAAGGAATGTGTCACTGGGCAGTAATGGGGAGATACACTGTGTGTTTGAATTTACCATTAGGACATGAAGTTAATAGTTTTATGTATATTATCAAAGATGTCTTGCAAAAATAATGATTGTACCAGTAATTTTAAAATGATTTTATAGTCAAAAGAATGACTCGTGAACAAAACATATACTTAAAGAAATATATATATTTCTTTGAAAAATATCAACAGAAGCCCAGTAAGATCATTTTGAAGTTAAAATTAGACATTCGGTCATAGTCAAGAAGGCACACTTCATCATGTTAAATTGTAACATTTAAAACGTGGTATAGTGTTGAGTAGTTCATTAGTTTAAGGTATTTGGAAATAGGTTTTTATAATACATAACATCTTGAATCATGTAATCTGAACAAGGTTTGCAGTAAATCTTATCTTTATTTTACAGTATTATCAATCCAGTTCATGGTGGCAGAACAAATGTGGAGGATACAACATGTACAGAGACAGAATCTATCATTAGCTCTCGCCTAGGTAAGGTTGCTGTTTACTTGTCTGAGTTTTTTCTTTGTGATGTATTTGACCCTGAAACCCTGCATGTTGTACAAAATTAATATATCTTAAGAGAATGGACTTATTTTCATAGTCACAAACTCATATATTGGTATGTATATTGGCAATTTCATCAGTCCATAACATTTGATGTTTTTTATTTTTATACTCGCATCCTTGTCCTCTTTGGCACAATTGCTTTTTGAATGCACAAACATCAGCTGCAGCTTTTTAAAGTCATTATTCACACTGAACTCCCATTTTTGATCAGTTATCCTCAGAAATAAACTTTAAATCAGGCCTGTTCAAGCTTTCTAGATCAACAAATTGTTTAAAGTTCTGTATGGAATATGAAATTTTTCAATATTGAGAACCAACTACTTTGTCTATTTCCATAAGTGTATTATAAGTTAAACTGTTATTCTGTAGATGTGATTCATACGTATTACAGTGTAGTGAATGGGTTGATTTATCATAAAGAGTCTCAGTATGGATTGATGGAGGATTATGAGATAATAGGAATAAGTTTACTAGTTTTGAAGGCACTGATGTGGATCTGAATGAAGTTAGGAAGGCCTGGTAGAAGAAAATGATATTTACCTTTAATGAGTGTCTCATATTCTCAACATGGAAGCAAAATGGAGACAAAAATGGAATTGTAATTAAGTGATATACAAATGTGAAAACTTCTTTGTCTTCGATATATGAATAGTCGACAGGATTGCAGTAAAAATAAATGAGGTTATTTTATCACAGTTTGCTTTTATCAGTATTAGGCCTATTGAAACCTGTTACTGGTATTACAGAACATAGTCCTTCCATCATTTTATAGGTCTTTCAGAACTTCTTCTTTTTGGTTGATATTTTAAAATAAAATCCTGTCAGACTCATCTGTCATTGTTATCTCCAGTTTGTTCTGTAGTCTATAAATCGTGTTTGTGAAATTTGTAGTTCTGTCATATCTTTATTTCTTTTACTTCTCAGAAAAGTGTATCTTGCATTCCACTTCATTAAACACATTTCTGCTGATGTTAATCTTTACTCTTCATTTCTTCCCATTGTCCATGATTCATTACTGTACGATAATGGTGATCTAGCAACTATCTTATAAATTCATATCCTTGTATACCCAGAGACTTGTCATGGTTTTAAAATCTGGTTTGTAATCTGTAATAATCTGACTTTTACAATTTTATACATTCAATTCCTTTTCTCATTCATAAGGTATGTTTTCTCTCAAATAATTAAAAAGTATTAATTTGTGGTAGGGGTTTGTTATAGAGTGTATCTTGTTTCCATTTAGCTCCATTCCTCTAGAATTAATCATTTTAATTTTTCATTATTATCACCATGGAAAATTTTTGCAGCTGTGTTATTCTGATTGTATACTGATTATTAGGGTATTATAGGTCACCATAAGAGAAAACAATCTGACCATCTGCAGATATCATAGTATCAGTGTCTAACAAGAATAAGGTTTTTAATTATTACCATTTACTGAATTGAATTGAATTTCTAAGTACTTTTAGTTTCCAGGCAAATGTTGAAAACACAATATGACCCAAAATACAGTACAGTAGGGTCCCAATTATCTGATATTCCATTTTATCTGACATTCCATGAGTCATAGTGAGAGATTGAAATCAGTTGAGACTGCACTTATTTATGTTGAACAACAAAGAAAGGCAATCAACGCAGATGTACTACTGTTCAGGTGCTGGCATGACCTTGCCACAATGAAAAGGAATGATGCTGAGATGCCTATACCCATTACTATTTCCTTAAAAACTAAACTTTCATTTACAATTTTACATTTTTCACATCACTTCCACAGGCTGTCAAATATTTACTGGATTTTGTTTTACATTACTGCCCTCAAAATCCCATGTTTTCTTTTAGTTTGCATTGTTGTAGGGAACAGCATTTGGCACTCCTTCCTTGAGTATTGTCCGTAAGTATTAAAAGTTGTAAGGTCAGTTGAATTGGGAGTGAAATGAGGTTCTGCAGAGTGTGTTGCTGGAGAAGTTGCAATGATAAATGGATGTTATGTGATTTAATGTAATCTTGCTAAAATTGTTATTCCTGTAGCAGCAAGTATATGCCATGACAGAATCACCATAGGTTATAAAGAAAGGGCATGATAATATTTTGCCATTATCTGTTCTGATTATCTGTCATGTGTACCATATTCATCCTTCAGGAAATGAGGAATGATGACGTTGTGTTCACACTTGTTCCACTTTGTTGCCTGTCTCCACGTAAAAAAGACTGACAATAAACATATTTTCTGCAGTGATGAGACTTATTTCAGTTAAAACCAATAACTGTAGTGGTATATTTATAAGATATACACCTATCTTCCATTAAAGTCCACTGAGGACATTGCTGTAAACTTCCAGTATGCTTAGTTGTGTACTTAATTTATGTTATCTGCTTTGATATAAGTTTTTCATTTAACTTGCTTAGTATAAATCAAATGGTCACAGCCATTACTGTGATGAATGTTTTGATTCTTTTATTAGTAGCTTATGTTTTAGTTTGTTAGGTATATTATTGTCTCTTTAAAAGGATGTGACTGTAACCCAGTCATTTTCATGGAGAAAATTTAAATTTATTAGCCATTTGCTATTCCTGTAACAGTTGGTATTTGGAGTTGTCAGATAGTTTGCAGCTGACTTTAGCAAAGTGATCAATTATTTATATCAGGAACAATGGTAGGATTCTTTTCTTTGGCAGGGTGGTACCTTCTTCATAATTGATGTTATCTCAACCTCCTACCATTTTAGACCACATACGAGGTGCGATCGGAAAGTTTCAAGACTGTCAATAGAGGGCGAACCGGATGTAGTACGAGCTTCTGCCGCTAGGGGGTGCGGCATACATTCATAGTGAATCAGTGTGCCAGCCGGCATTATCGAATTAGCATTTGTTTCTTAGTTACGGGCGTTTTGGTAGTGCATTACACCGACCCTCCTGCGATTTCGGAATGGCGTGTGCATCAAATTTTGCCAAAGACTCGCCAAAACGGCTAAGGAAACCTATGAAATGCTAAAGCAAGCATTTGGGGAGTCCGCAAACTTTTGTGTGGCATTCACGTTTTAAAAAGGGCCGGCCGAACCTCTGTCGATGATGACGAGAGTTCTGGACGACCATCTTCGAGCACAACGCCCGAAAAAGTTACGAAGATCGACGTCGTACCATCAACGACTTGTGCGACATTGTTGGGACCTGTCAGCTGATTCTAAAGGAAGAACTCCACATGCGACGCATCCTCTCTGAGGACCAGAAGCAGAATCGACTTCTCGTTTGTCAGGAGCTCAAAGATCTTGCAAGAACCGACCCCAACTTCCTTTCTAAGCTCCGTGTGACTTCTTCCTCTTCCCAAAGATGAAAATTCAGCTAAAGGGAAGGAGATTTGAGACGATAGAAGAGATTCAGGCAGAATCGCAGATGGTGCTTGACAGGCTGACAAAGAAAGATTTCCAGGGATGCTTCCAGGCTTGGCAGCGGCGCTGGGATCGTTGTGTTCACTCCCAGGGGAACTACTTCGAGGGTGATGGATAAATTTAATACCTGAGATAAGTGTACGGGTTTTTATAGGCGCAGTCTGGAAACTTTCCGATCACACCTCGTAAAATGATATTGCATCTTTAGAGAAAGTTGTCGTATCTTACTTAACCCATTGCCAGGTAAAATTGTATCTGTTCTGTCTGTACATCCATATTAAGTCTGTAAGACAGAAAGAATTTGATGACTTTTATATGTAGCTCCAATAGCAGATGAGGTGACATTTTAATTTCTGGTCATTCAAAAAAAAAACCTGTTTGTTGTGTTCTGCATAGCCCCATCTCCTCATGAATGTACTGACTATGTAGGAATCACTGTTTTCCATATAATTCTGGTTTTTATCACACTGATTAGACCCTGCTGCAAATCCTATACAGCAGTGCTTATTAACCATACATAGTCCTTTATTATCACAACTGACAACCCTTAGTTTCCAGCAGTTGACCATATTCGCCATATTCACTTGTTACCTGTTTTCCTAGTTATTATTTAGTGTTTCTTCAATGTACATCTGCTTATCATTGAGAATGAATTTGTAACCATTTTCTACTATAAAGGTGTTCATCAGAGTAAATGGTAAGGGCTCCTTCCTTTATTGAAAGTCATGTTTGCACATTTTTACCTTTCCAAGCTTTCCTTTATATGATACAAATGTTTTAATTTTTTGGATGTTCAGTAAATGAAAAGAATTTCCATAAATGTTGTATGAAATCTTAAAAGGTTGCATCCTGTTGTGTAATTAACTTAGGAACAAATGCCTACTGTCAATACAACTTATATTTATATATCACACATGAAAAAAATGTATTTGTGTATCACATATATATGATCACTTCAAGTTTTGGTGTATAGCCATCTTTATGTGTTATATGAATGTACTGAAACATTAAATTAAAATACTAAATGCATGTATTGTCACAGAAGTATGTGTCCGTATTTGTGATTTGTTTAGGTGATCATTAAAATAATTAAACATCTTCGTTCTTAGCCCAGATGAAATAAAATAAAATTGCAAGTCATTATCTTCCTTCCATATATGGTTTAAGATATAGGAATAATTATGTATAAATCTGATACAGGCATGATGGTAATATCTTGGAATAGTTGATTCTAACAGATGAAATTGTTCAGAAGGTGCTACTATTTTGTATGTTCAGGTATCAGTGTGGTATGAGAGTGCTTGTATTGGGATGTAATTTTCAGTCCATTTATGTGGTGTATTGTATATAATTAATTCTATTATTAAATTGCTCCTTTTGATGGGGTATGGAGAAAACTTCATAATGATGAGCTTAAAAATTTGTACTCCTCCAATATTGTCAGGGTGATTAAGTAAAGAAGAATGAGATGGGCGTGGCATGCATGGATAGGGCAAGAGGTGTGCACCAGGTATTGGTTGGGAAGCCTGAACGGGGGAGACCTAGACGTAGATGGGAGGATAATCTTAGGCAGGATCTATCGGAGATAGGAGTTGAAGGAGACTGGATTTTGTTGGCCCAGGACAGGTGGAGGCCTTTGATTAATTCAGTGATGAACCTTTGGGTTACCTAAGCCATCTAGTTAGTTACTTGCTCCTCTTATCTTGACCATGTACAGGAGGCAGATACTTGAAATTTTATTGTTTTATTTTTATCTTATTCCATCTGGGCCAAAAACAATTTTAATGATCACCTAATCACAAATATGGATCTATACTTTTTTGCTAATAAGTGAATTTAGTATTTAATTCGGCAT